TGTGCCTATTAGGCTCTTCAGTTTCAAGAAATTTCTAAACTGTTCTTAGTCCTAAATAATGTTAGGTTCAATTTGAACCACGAGCCAGTATTTCATGGGGAATTGCAGATAAATCAACAACACCTGTCTTCATAAAAGAAATTTAAGACTTTGTGTTCATAATAATTTTCTTTGTGTCTGAAGAAGAAAGCACAGCCATAAACCAAGGGCTGTTCAGCAAGAATTATTTCCAATAACATTAAAATTATTTACAACAGTATTTACAATAAACCTGACAGAATTTTCCTTTACATGTAAATGAATGAACGCTCCAGAAACAACCACAATGTATGTAACTCCGTTTCTCACGTGCACTTCATCCTCATCCATCCCAGGATTGTTTCTGTTACAAAGTCAAAGAGCCAGAATCAATCAGAATCTTTCTCAGCAGGATTTTAAGTCAACACCATTTAAATTAAATGACACTACAAAAAAAAACAAAAAACACCACACTTTTGTACTAGTTATGCTTTGGAATTCTTGTGACAGGAGTAGACATTTAGCTTGATAAAAATCAGCCACAGAAAGTTTAATTTTTGGAATGTTTTTAAGAACCCATGAATTTTCAAATTGTGATTACAATTGTGATTACAATTTTACATGAAACAAAAGTTTCATGGGAAGTGTGAGATATTTTAGATAAATTTAATGCTGTTTCACCACCAGAAATGAAATTTTCTAATGAAAAAAACATGTTTGATTTGAAATTTTGGAAATGGGCTACTAGAAATATTACAGCTTAATTTTTTAAAGTTCGAAACAGACAAAATTTCTATTAAAATACTCTTTAACAAAAAGTACATTTTAATTTGAGAAGTGCTACAAGTATTTTTAATTTCATAAAAGGGATAATAATTTTCTTAAATTGTTATTTCTAATAAAAATAGTCCTCTGTCTGTGTATTATTCTTTTATGTTGTTCTCCATCAGATCCCTTTTGTACTGAGGTAGGAACTTGCTTATAGGAGCATATACTTTGTTATACAGTAAGCAGGAATATTAGCCAACTTATACATCCTTCTACCTTATGTACCCATGTTTTATTCAGAAGTGCTGAGGTTTATTATGTTTAAAGTGGAAGATTTTTCAGAAGAGCTCTGAGCACAATAAACCAGCCTCCCTGGGCTCTTTTTGTCATTCACAGTGCATTTTGAAATGGCAATATCATCTAGAGACTTTTATAGCCTTTCAAACATTTTAGGAACAACTAAACACGTCTTTCTTAGACTGCAGTGTCTCTCATGGAACACAAACCTCTGCACTCAGCCGAGGTTTGTGTTCCAGCAGCAGGATTTGGCTGGCAGCAGTGAGCAGTCCCAGGGTAAAGCTCCCCCAGCCTGCGCTGGCTGATCGCTGCTCTCCAGCCCAGCCCGTTCCTCCTGCGCTTCCCGCTGGTCTCAGGCTGTTTTCCAGGGAACTGGATCCGCAGCAGCACTCTCTGGTCCCTCACTGGCGCTGGAGGGAACCTTGCTGGGAGCAGAGAGAGCATTCATCCCCTACTGGCATTCCTTTAAAAAGGATGAACCCTCTCTGCCAGGCCCAACACTCTTACAGCCTTCAGGTTCTCTGGCCGGGTTCTTAACCCGCAGTGCAGGGACAGGGTGGATACTCCTCCTGTTCTCCAGGGCTCACAGACCTTGGATTGAGCTCCTGAACCTCTGGCATTGTGTCCAACACCCCATTACAATAAACCACAATGGAGAAGAATAGTATCAGAGATGAGGTAATGTTGTTTACTGTGGCCGGAAGGAAGGTTTTCCTGTTTGTGTCTGAAGTCCAGTGGAAACATCCCCACTGGGGCATGGAAAAGTGACGCTGGGCTCACACTGCAGAGGGTTGGTGAGCTGGGCAAGGAGTCCCAGAGTTAGAGAAGATGCAGAAAGACTCAGTAATAAGAGAAGAGTTTGTTGGATTTTTATATTTTCTTCTGGCCTGTTTTAGAGTGCTGTCTAATGTATGAGAGTCTCAGTTAACCATGACTGGAAATAAAACCCAGAAAGGATGTTCTGAGGGACTCAGCTTTTGTCAGTTCTGTTCCTACTGACTTTGTCAAGGAGAATTTGGAAACCCAACACCCACACCTGGGTGTCCCCAGGATGCCACCCAAGCTGATCTGGGCACCTGCAGTTCCCAGAGAACATTTGTGGTGTGATTGTCAAAAGGAAAAACAGATTTAAAAAAGTTTAAGGGAATGGGCTGAGAGGACAGGATGGCACACACACATCCTGCAGATACTCAAATTGCAATATGCAGACAACCTCAGATTAAACCCCAGAACTGAGCAGCGACCAAGTCACATTTTTGATGAAATACAGTTGGAGATGTACATCTTTATTCTGGCTTGGGAGCTAATTACATCCTCCAAACTGTCTAAATGCAGCCAAATGGGGTCTCTAATTACCGTGCAGTCACTGCCTTCCCAAACTCTCTTAGACAAAAATAAAACCCAAATCCTGCAACACTGGAACAAAGAGGGAAATGGCACTGAATTGTAAAGCCATTTCACCTGGGTTTCTACACCGACATAGAAAGAAATAAAAATTAGAAATGCACATATTCTTCTTATCTCTGCGAGCAGCTGGCACCAGAGCACTTCAGGTGCCACATCCCAGGGTGGGGAGTGACATGGAACCATTTAGTGTCACCCAAATGCCTGGCCACTGCCCGTGTCTCTCTGCCAGCTGTGCCTTTAGGGCTGGGACAAGCACCGTCAGCTTAATCAGCAGCTTTCTCCATGTGGGAAACAGCAGAGTTCCAGACAGAACATGTTATTTGTGAACTTCCAGGCTTTGAGCAGCAGTGGAACATGACAAAAGAGCTACTCGAAAGAAAAAGGAGTCAAGAGTACATTCAAATCATCACAGGAAGTTTCAAGCATTTCTCACTATTTCCAAATACACTGGGAAATGATCCAGCTCACCCAATGCCCAACAAATATTTATCATATTGGAGAAGATGAAGGTTTTTTTAGAAAATAAGCATCATAGCAATAAATATTTAAGCAAAAAGAACCGTGCTTCAACAAAAATTGTTGTTATTGTTGGTATTCCTTGGTTTTAGCCTTTCAAACAACAGAAGTGGAGCTCCAGTTCCCACCTTTCTCTTTGGTTTGGTTAATGACATGTCATGCAGATCTTGTAGAATAACTGTGAACTATTTATTAGCTCTCTGAATCAACAAACTTCAGTCAAATTGCCATCAAAGGCCTGACAGACAGTCTTACACATAAGTACACCTTTCATAGGCACATCTCCAGCTTATGAAAGGGACTGACAAATAAATCTCAGGGGAGAGTTCTTCAACCAAAATGAACCACAGATCTGATTTTAAGAGATTTGTGGTGACAGGTGGCATTCTTCCTGTTCTAATGTCAGTTTGCATTTGTTGAAAATTATGAAAAATTAGAAGAGGTGCTGCAAGCCAAACAGTCTGACTTAAAAATGGAAATAAACAGACAGAATCATTTCTTTTGTGATTAGTCTGGAGCAAATCAAATCAAGCATCATGACAGCCTGACCAAATTCTAAATGGGACTTTTTGGTCCAGCTGCCTCACAGTCTGCCTTGTAAAGAAGTTTATCAGCATCCATTGGTCTTTGTTTACATCAGGCACATTGCTCCCAGCCTTATAGCCAGAATGTCTGAGGTGACAAAAGCAGAGGGGCTAGAAATGCCAGGTGGGCTTAAATACAAAAATTCTTTCTCCCATTCCTGTCCAGTGAAAACCAGAAATGATGGAAGAAGACATTAAACTCCCACCTCTATCAAGAGGCAAATCCTTTTTCCATTACTGCAGAAAATTTAGTGACCAAGGAGGTGCAGAAAGTTCTCGGGAGCAGGGGCAATCCCTGACAACAAAGAGTGCAGACAGTGCTTGGCCTTTAACGAGCAGATATTTCATTCCCTGGGGAGAGCTGTGGGTCTGTAACAGTGAACATGAGGCATGAACAGACATTTGGGCAACTAAAATGTATCTTCTACCTGTTTCAGGGACCTAGCACAGTGTATAGGAATCAGTGTGTAAAACGCTAACCTTGAAGATTTTCACTATTAAAACCAGGAGTGAGAAGGAGCCTGACACGGATGTAACCCCCCCACCCCACCTGCAACTGCAGGTGATGATGAATCCCAGCCCAAGAGCCTACTGAACACCAGGGGAGTGCTTCCCACTCTGACAGACCATGGCATGGCATTTCCTGTGGTTTGCACACTCGTGGACACTTCTGAGAGCCAGGAGCATCATCAGCAGTGTCTCATTTTCTGTAACAGCCTTCCAAAGTCTTCAGTCAGGCTGAGGAAAACACAAACCTGACACCCCCAGCCAGCAGAAGGAGTGAAGGCTGTCGGAGCAATCCACACTCCGTCCTTGCACTGGGACAGAGCTCTTGCATTAGTGGGGTCTAGAAAATAATTGCCCAGCCTTGGCTGGTGGGCATTTGATCATTTTCTGCTTGGAAAGATGAGCAAAAATGCTCCCTTCCGACATTCAATTAGGAGAACTGTTTGGTGTCAAAGCGCCAAGGGAATTTTAAGGGACCGGTTATTGCTGCTTTATGCATAATTCTGAATTTGCTGCTCTAATGAGCTCTTCTCTCTATCATCCGTGACTGTCACTCAGCTCGGTGAAAGTGGCTTGGCCTGACAAATCCTGTTAAGTCTCAGAAATTAAATGAGATCTGAAAATGCCCGAGTCCACACCCGTCACACCACATGCTGCTTTGATCAGCAGTGTTAGTCCAGCAGGCTTGGAGGTGAGCCAGCACACCCAGGGCTACCACCCAGCATCAACAGGAGCCACCCCCAGCCCTGAGGATGGCAGGGGCTCCACGCTCCTTGGGATCACCCCCAGGCAGAGAACAGGCACAACCTAATGGAGCAGAGGTTGTTCTATTTATTTATTTTCCAGATGTAACTGCCAGGGAAGAGGGAAAGTTGCAGGATCTCTGTAGAGCTGTTTAGATTCCTTAGCTCTACCCTACAAAAGCCTTTTCCATACAGCCCGTCAGCAGAAGTGCTGTCTCATCTTCATCTTCCACTGGCCAGCTGCAAACAGAAAATTTAAAAAAACAGTATTGGGAGGGAGGGGGAAGTAATGGGCTGGGTGGCTTGTGGCATTGTCCTGTCTGTGATGCTCAGGCAGGAAAAGCTGGAGCTGAGGGGGAACATTCAAATAGAGTTTTGGTTTTAAAACTCTTCAGATTCCCCAAATCAAAGCATGTTTCCAGGAATTGATTCTGACAGTTATGTTTTTAATAATTTATTTTAACTAAAAGATCTCTAATGGTAGACAGAAAAAAGCAGTAGGGTCATGAAAAAATTATCTAAAGGAAAATACAAGGAGAGGTTGAATCCTGTAGTGTTGATTTTAGAGCTGCAAAATAGAAACTGAGCACTGAGTATTTTCTTGCATATCATTAGTAAACCAGGAGCACAAATATCACGAGACCATCTGGAAATTCACCCTGAGGTCCATATGGATCAGCTGAAACTGTATCTGAAACTGCAACGGGCTCATGGCAGCTGTGGGGACAGCCCATCTGAAGGCTGGCAGAGAAAGAATGCCAGAGCCCCACAAGATGCCCCAAACCCTCAAGACCCACCTGCTTCCAGCTGTCCAAACTCCAGTCCCTGGCAGCCTCCAAAGGGACCATTTGCACCGGGAAGACAAAAATGGTGAATGGAAAGCTGATCTGTCTCACGGCTCTCCTTTCTTTGATACCCCCTGCAGCCATTGCAAGCATTTTGAGCCAGAAAGCTCCTGCTAGGCTCACGGGGTGAGAACTCCCGGCCCTCGCACCTCTCCCCATCACTTCCACCCAACGGCTCCTCTCCCTTCTCCCAGCTGTCAGCTTTAATCTGCTCCCGTGTGGGAACTGCCCTGCTAGTGGCTCTTTTCAGTTTCAGTCAGGCTGAGTTAAGAAGATGCCCTTTGAAGGGTGCCGGGCAGCGTTCCGGGGTGAGGAAGAGCCGGGCCGGGGGAGCCTCAGGAGCTCAGGGGCAGCTGCAGAGGTCACACAGAGCACCAGTGACGTGCTCTGGCATGTGATTCTCATGAGTTCACTGGTTTGATGTGGCGACTGAGCACAAGTCAGCATTTATAGCAGATGACAATCATTCATCGCAGAGGTGTCAGTCACAAACAAAGCGCACAGACGCCGCTCCTGGTTCGGCTGCTCTGGCAGAGCCTCCCCGTGCACTGCAACAGAACAATCGGCTCACCACTCCTGTGGCATCGTTCTGTGTTTAACCCCAACAGCTCCACACACTCGAGTTCTCTCTCGGTGCAGCCACAGAGGTACACGGGTACTTCATCCCGACAGGGTGTAGCAATAACCCATCACACTGAGCTCTGCAGCTGGGCCTCCACAGCAGGACAGCCCTGCCTTGGGGCAGTCAGCAAACAGCTGTCCTGAGAGGGGCTCACTGTCCCTGGCCCCTGGGAGCCCTGTGGCTGAGCCCAGAGCCCCTGCAGAGCTGTGCTCTGGTGGGAAGGATCGGAGAGGTCACAGAGCAGCTCCGCTGGAGGGACCAGAGGTGCTCACCTGTGTGACACTCAAGCAGAGGAGGTGCCAGGTCCCCCAGAGCAGCTGATGCTGGAGCAGATCCACATCCCCACATCAGGTGTACTCCTGCAGCAGCCCCTGTGCTTTGTCCCACGTGGCCACTCACAACAGATGTGTAAATATGAAAAGAGCCTGTGAGACCTGGCCTCTACAAAGGCAGGCTGTGGCACAGCAAAAGGGCACAGCAATCCTGCAAGGGGAGACAGAAACCTGGGACAGTCAAGCGAGACAGGTTATTCATTTGCTGTACATCCTGCAATAAATCAGAAGAGAAGCCAAAACAAATTCCCAGGGCCTCATTTCCATCCCTCCTCCTTTGGGAAAGCAGCTCTCCTGGAAAAGGAAAACCTCGCTGTGCAGCAATGGCAAATGTGCCCCATGTGATGTGCAGCCATCGTTCGTGACCCCGGCAGCCGAGTGCAGAGCAGCAGTGGAGCTCGGCACCCGCAGCAGGACAGGAAAGCTCCGGCGGAGCCGCCCTTCCTTCCTGCACACCCCGGCCAAGTCCCACACCCCCGGGCGGGCGGCTCGCTCAGCACCGCCAACGCTGAACCAAGCACTCTGCAACTAAATTTAGAGCTTCTCATCTCACACAAGCACTTCGCAGAATCTCTGAAAAGCTGCCGTGGTTGTAAGTCAAAGCACGAGCAACACATGCTTTTCTGGAGGAAAACCAGCCAGATTTCTTCTTTCAGAACATTTCTCTGATCCTGGACTTTACCTTGACCCAAAGTAAATGAGTGAGGCCCAGGCTGACATAGTCCCTGTTTAAAGCCTGCAACAGTGAAGCTGACACAGCAAATGAGATCTTGGGACAACATCTGATCCCCCTGGCACAGCGGGAAACTGATTCCTGAAGAGAACCCAGATCTACACATTTAACTTGTACTCTCTTAGCTGTTTTTCCTGTTACAAAGATAAATGAAAAGGCAGCACAACCCCCTGCACATCACCTCTAGCCAGCAAATTTCAACTCGGCTGTGACCAAGAGTTTTTCTTCATAATGAGTGTTGTGTTTCTTGGAACTACAGAAAGCCACTCATCCCTGGGAGCCACTTCTCCATGTGCTGGGAATTCTCCATGTGTTTGGGAATTTCCTATGGCCACAGCCAGCTCAAACAGGACTGACCTGCCAGGGGCCTTTGGCCACAGACCTTCCTCCATACCCTGCTGTGCAGGGCAGCCTTGCACAGAGTGCCTGGAAAGTGTTTGTTCTTCCCACCTAAATAAAATCCCACCTAAACCAACCTCTGGAACAGACCCCTTGGGCTGACCTGTGTGGCCTCACACACTGCTCCAGGCACAAGCCTGAGTGGAGCCCTTCAGTCCAGCTCGAGGCTCCAGCTCGTGGGGCTGTTGGTGGCACAGAGAATGCCAGGTCCTGCTTGCATGGCAGACTGGCAACGTTCTCATTCCCCTCTTTATGATTTCTCTTTGCTTTACCATGATATCATTTAGGGTCTATTTTTATTCAGATCCCCTGTGAGACCGACTGAGGTCTGTAAAGCCCAATTGGAAATGCTCAGCCAGGAGCATTACAGGCAAAAGTAAACAAGCTATGAGAGTATATTTTTCTTGGCTGTTTACCCTACTGCTGTTAGGACTTACAGGCAGACTGAAGACTCATGTCTTTTTCCTATTCCAGTTTTTTCCAGGCTGATTTGCTACATAATCCCAGAAACAAGTCTCAGAGTTACCATAATTAGGTGTACTCTGAACTCCCACCACCTGACAGACACAAAGGCACCATCAGCCAGAACAACAGCCATGGTTGGTTGTTGGTTTTGTGAGTGACTAAAAACTGCTGGGTACACTTCTTAATCACAGAATCTCAGGATGGTTTGGGTTGGAAGGGACCTTAAAGCCCATTCCATCCCACCCCTGCCATGGGCAGGGACACCTTCCACTATCCAAGAGTGCTCCAAGCCCTGTCCAACCTGGCCTTGGACACTGCCAGGGATCCTCAGTGGGGGCTGCCTCATCTGTTGCATTTCTGATCTCTAGAGCAACCCTCCCTCTCCTCCTGCTGTACATTCCTGCTGTTTTCCTGCAGCAGCAGCAGCCTGATCCTGCTGTCAGCCCCTCCTGGCTCCAAGAGCTCCAAGAGCACAGCCCCGGCTGCCGTGGGAAGCTCGGAGCATCCAGGGTCAGCTGCAATTAAAACACTCTCAGTGTTCATGTGCAGGCCAGCTGTAATGGCAAGAACTGTGGCTATTTATCCAGTCTATGCAAGTGTAAATCAGCCTTTCCTCATCTTCTCGTTTTTTAAGATAATCAACCCCTTTTCCAGTATTCCTGGGAATCATTCATGTTTTAGCTGTCAATAATATGGCATTGAAGAAATTATTGATCAGTAATAGAATTACCTGAGATCCTGCACAACCAATTGAGACAAGCTATGGTTCAGGACACTTCAGGGTACTGAGAAAGAACCCCCTGGGGTCTGATCAGATGTAGGAAACACCAAACCACTCCCACATTGAGGTGTGTGACAAAAGCCCCATCCCAGACAGGCAGCAGGGACAGCACAGCTGCTCAGGGAAGCTCCACAAAAATATTGTTAAGGAGAAAGCCTGAGTTTGGGTTAAACAAGAATAGGGGCAGCTTAGAATAAAGATCAGCTTTGCTAAAATAAAGAAGAAAGGCACCACTTCCACCAAGCTTCTCTCCCGCCCCTTATTTGCATTTTCTGATGCCAGCTCCCAGCTACAGCATGGGAACGGTCGGACCAAGTGATGGATCTGCAGGTTTCTATGGTGATCAGCTCAGAAATTGCCTGCCCAGCCGTGTGTGAAAGGAAGCATCCATGTCAGAAACCGCAGACTGTATGGTGAGAGAAATCCCTGCTCTGGACTGGGGTGTCAGGGTTGTGCTGCAGAGGCCCAGAGCTCGCTCACCAGCCTAGGGATGTCTGTGCAGGACTGTGGAGAGCTGAGAACTCATAAGAGGACAAAAACCCCTACTGAAATACTAGCAGTCACCACTGAGTAATTACACAATATCATTTTAAAAGACTGATACAAACAAAGTACATAATATTTCTAAATATCAGAAATATCAGTTTCCTCTCATGCTGACCCCCACCTGGCTGCACCCTCCTGTCAGGGAGTTGTGGAGAATGAGAAGGTCCTCTCTGAGCCTCCTTTTCTCCAGGCTGAGCCCCCTGCCAAAGGCACATCTGCCAAGAAAAGAAAGGAATTCAATTTCTGTACTTGATAACTGCTGATTGTGTAACCCGTGTAGAAGGTTCTGAGTTCATGTTCACTGTCCTCATGAACTATAGCACAAATCCTTGTCTCTATAAAAGTGTTAGTTCCTTACAAACCTGTAAATCAGAAAGTGAGGGAGGGAGGCTTGGTGAAGAAACAACCTCAAATCCCAACTGCCATACACTTAAGGCAGAAGCACTGATTCCATCTATTTAGGCTATTCCCAGAAGGGAAGTCTGGATAATAAAAATGAGCCCTGGCAACAGGACAAACCTCGTTAATCGATCCAGACGAAGCCACTGGCTGGCATTTTCCAGCTGAGAAACATCAAGTACCTTCCTCTTGAAAACCTTCCCCTGCGGCTGTCAGGGAAGGTGATGGGCTGAGGACACGAGTTAATGCACCTACTCCCTTTAGGAATCAAACCTGGAACTTGTCAATTCAAGTGCAACTGAGAGCAGACACTGATCTAAGTTTAAAAAATAAAAAAAATTTTAAAAGACATGTTTACTCTCAGTTGTTACCCAAACGGGCTCAGAAAAGCCAGCCAGTTTGGTGAAACATAAATGGAGAAACATAAATGCCAGTTCTTAAACATATTAGGGAACTAGCGTGGCTGAGAACAAGGACAGAATACACACAATGATTTTCTTTTCCAAAGGCAATTACTGCAGCTCCCCAGGCCGAATGCAGCAGCTGCAAACCTCCCGAAAGCAGCTGCTCTGAGAGCCCTGGGAGGCTGTGCCCGGGCAGGGGCTGGGGCCACCCTGTGTACGAACCCGGCCTGGGCTGGGCTGTCCCTGTCCCTGTCCCTGGGAGCGCTCCTGGGCTGGGCAATGCGCTGGCAGCACTGGCAACATTGATAGCCCGGCACGGTGCCGCGTCGGGCAGGAGCAGAGGTGGGCAGGAGCAGAGGTGGACAGGAGCAGAGGTGGACAGGAGCAGAGGTGGGCAGGAGCAGAGGTGGGCAGGAGCAGATGTGGACAGGAGTAGATGTGGACAGGAGCAGAGGTGGACAGGAGCAGAGGTGGACAGGAGCAGATGTTGGCAGGAGCAGCAGAGGGCAGGAGCAGCAGAGGGCAGGAGCAGCAGAGGGCAGGAGCAGCGGGCCGGCTCCGGGGGCACACCACCGCCCACCTGGCTGTGCTTAGCTGCCCAGCGAGGCTGGAAAAGAGCCGGCAGCTCCCGGCACAGCTCTGGTACAGCTCTGCGGGCAGCACGGCTGGGAGCGCACACGGGATGTTACGGGGCTGGAGCAGCAGAACACCCTGCGGACACCCGAGCGCAGGAAATCGCCTCCGGGAAACCTGGGAGCTCCGAGTGAAACCCCAGCGCCAGCCCTGCTCCCCCAGCTGTGCCTAGAAACACACAGAAGAAACACGTATTCAACACGATCAACAAAGGGTAGAAATTAGTAGCCCATAAACAATAAATAAATAAAGTTATCTATCATTATGTTACAAATAATTCAATAACCATAAACCTTTTAACAGCCAAAGGGAAGTCAGCAGAGTGGTGACTGCTTCTCATCAGAACAAACCCCTTTAATAGCTTAAAGCCTGATTATTAATCAGCATTCATTACTTCATATTAGCGTTTGTAAGTTCCCTCGGCACGGCACAAAGGCTGAGGATCGCAGGTCCCAGCCAGGCGGGGGCACAGCGGTTCATGCAGCGGGTTGTGTTTCAGAGCAGGCAGAGCTGCTGTCACACAGCACCTGTTCCACACCCGTGAAACGAGCGGGGACTGCAGCGGCGGTGATGGGAAACGCACATTGTTGATAATCCTTGTGCAGAGCCCGAGTCCTGAGCCCCGGCTCCCCGCTCCGGGGCACCTCGGTGTGCCTGGGCAGGCTGTGCCCCCGCTCCGGGGCACCTCGGTGTGCCTGGGCAGGCTGTGCCCCCGCTCCGCGGCACCTCGGTGTGCCTGGGCAGGCTGTGCCCCCGCTCCGGGGCACCTCGGTGTGCCTGGGCAGGCTGTGCCCCCGCTCCGGGGCACCTCGGTGTGCCACAGGGACCCGGGGCTCCGGACACACCCCCAGGGCACCGACACCGTGCTCTCCTTCCAGCACCCCCAAATGGCACCGCGAGCCTTGCATGTGTTCCTGCTGGGGGAGGACTGGAGGGAGCAGAAGTGGGTGTGGGTGTGTGTGACACACCTGTATGTGTGTGTGTATGTGT